AACTCGCGGATCTCCGTGTCAGTCTCACCCTCAGTCGCACTGACAGTCACGCTCACGGTTAGCATTCTTCTGTTGCGGATTGCTTAATGGTCGGAGTTCAAATTGAGACATGATTATTTCAATCTTAGTAATCAATAATTCGTCATTTATAATGTCATGATAATTTATTATTGCTATTTAGTGCATATCCTGCTAGTTTCTCCTAAAATGGAGGAATCGATGTTTGTTTAAAACTGAAAAGAGCCATGAATTTCTTCCATATTATTTGATTTTTTTCTTTATTTCCAGTGTGATGAAATATGCCTACTGAAATACAGTCGACATTTTTCCTCATTTCTTTATTTTTTTATTCTATCTTTGCATAAAGAAATAATAAAAAAAGAGACTTACAAGTACTGTATTATCACGTAATGAGAAAGGGAAATTTTCATCATGGAATGGTATGGTATTCAAGGAAACAAACTGCGGTTCCCATCCACGCTTTGAGAATCTGGAAAAAGAAAATCAAAGTGTTGATAATAAATTTTTTACAGGGCAGATAACACACGCCAAGTAAACTTTCAATTATCAAGAAGGAAAAGTAAAATGAAATGAAAAATTGAATGGTTAATTCCTTTGAATCAATAGAAGTTACTTGCACATGGCAAATTTGTGGTATAACTTATTTGTTGCTTAAAATTTCATGAAGTTTGTATTATTAAATAAAAACTATAATAATAAAGATTACTTAAGGATGGAATGTATATTGACTTTCTGTTTGTTCTCTTGTTTATTAAGCCATTGATCCAAGTGTGGAATGGTATGTGCTCCCACATTATATCGAGCATGAAATTCCACTGCTAATCCTTTGAAGAATAATTCTCGCAATTCTGCTTTATTGCGTGGCATCCTAAATGATAAATATTTAAAACAGTAATGATAGTTTATTTGTGTAATTTAAAAGTTTAAACAACAAAACACAAAAAATGCAGCAGAAATTAAATCTTTGTATCAGAAAAAAGAAAAAGAATGGTTATTCAATATTTTGTAAAATCGCAGTAAATAATTAATAGCAAAAAAAGACTGAATGATGCTACATTATTTTTTTAAGCAAACAATTATATCAAAAAATGCCTAACGTTCTTTGGTATATTTTCAAAAAAAAATTTGGAAATTTAAAAAGAGTTTTCATATTTTTTACATCTAAAAAGAAATGCGAAACGAGAGAATTCGCTGTACTGCTCTCTTTATGAATATTATTACATTTAGTGAGCTATTTAAATATTTCTAATTAATTAACTAACCTATCAGTTGAGTGATGCGTAAATCTTTCATTCAATTTTTATACTATTTTACATTAATTTATTTCAAGAAAATAAAAGAAAGACTTGTACAAATAAATCTATGACATACTCTTTAATGGTACCGTTCACTTCAAATATCCGTACAACAAGTGCTGTCTTTGGATTACGCGTCAATTGATCTTGTGCTAATGCACACATTCTGGATTCAAATCCTTCCGGAAAAACAAATTCCGAATCACTAATTAACACATATTTAGATCTCACGAACTAAAATGTTGAAGTTGAAAAACTTATGAAAAAACATTTAATGATTTCAAAATAAAACAAATCCATTTTAGATCGATAACTTCAGTTGTAATTACCATCAATGTTTGATGATTTAATGATTATTTTAATTTTATTAATACGTGCTGCAATATGTTGCTAAAAATTTTTAAAGCAGGTAAATATTTTGACTTATTGAAATTACTATATGTAAATTCCATTCAAAAATCATTGCAATAAAAATGTTCAGTTTACCATTCGTGCTACATTACGTGCCACATTGATAGGATATCTCCAATCGACATTATTTTCGTTCAATTTACCAACTGCATCTTTACTGCATCCGTACTTTGACGAGAATAAGACGTGAACACTTAATTTATGTAACACGTAAGAAGGAAAGTGTGACAGCTAAAAGCATGAAAATTTTTGAAAACTTAAAGAACTATCATAATATGTGTTAGTTACAATTTTGACGTAGTAAATAAATTTCTAATTGAAATTTGACAATAGAATTTAAAAGTTGAACAAAAATTCTTCACTTATCGTTAAATGATCTTACATTTAGTAAGTATGATTCAAAAACTAGATTTGTCGCGAAATTTCAAGAATATTATAAATGGTCAAATGTTTCTACATGATCTCCCTTGCTCTTATATCCTCCAATATCTCTCCTTATTTTCCCGCGTTATGATATGCACGTATATTTTGTCTATATAACACATCAAATATTCATTCATTCATTCATTCNTTCGTTCTTCCTTNNGGGTTATACGTTTGGTTTATTTTTTGCGCTCCTTATTTCATGTTTTAATATTGCGTTATTATTGCT